TTAGGTAATCCCCAAACAAATAAAAATCAATTGTGCACAACCAGGGCTGTGGGCACCACAAACGAAAACACGACAGACTGTACACGCGCGGCAACAGCCGTGACCGCGCACACTCGCTGATGCTGGTTGTTGGCTGCTGGCTGATAGCTGCATAGCGTAGCCCATTTAGGCAATATAACTGGCTGCAGCTGCTGGCTGGTTAGATAACGCTAGCTACCATCCACAAAACCCAGCGACGACAATAAAACCGGCCGGTCACCACCAACTGTCCACCAACTGTCCACCAACTGGATCAACATCTGCCAACCTCTTCCAACCAAACATATCTCCAACGGACAACTTCCACCATGACAACCATATTTCTCGACCCGATCCTCCATATCTTTGGACTCCCTTATTTTCCTGCTTTGAACTAGTCCTTCCGTTTGCAACGAATGTCGTGGTTTGAGCAAGGATGTCTCCCTTTTCATCTTTCTTTTGTGCACGGTAGTTTGAAAGCAGAAAACTGTAGCGTGGGTGGGCACGAAGAGCCACAGCGGCGGCCGGGGAGGGAAATGCACCGCAAAAAGGTCGCGGTGGCAGCAAGCCCAGACGAGAAGAGCCGCAGCGGCGGCCGGGGAGGGAAATGCACCGCAAAAAGGTCGCGGTGACAGCAAGCCCAGAGGAGAAGAGCCACAGCGGCGGCCGGGGAGGGAAATGCACCGCAAAAAGGTCGCGGTGGCAGCAAGCCCAGAGGAGAAGAGCCACAGCGGCGGCCGGGGAGGGAAATGCACCGCAAAAAGGTCGCGGTGGCAGCAAGCCCAGAGGAGAAGAGCCACAGCGGCGGCCGGGGAGGGAAATGCACCGCAAAAAGGTCGCGGTGGCAGCAAGCCCAGAGGAGAAGAGCCACAGCGGCGGCCGGGGAGGGAAATGCACCGCAAAAAGGTCGCGGTGACAGCAAGCCCAGAGGAGAAGAGCCACAGCGGCGGCCGGGGAGGGAAATGCACCGCAAAAAGGTCGCGGTGGCAGCAAGCCCAGAGGAGAAGATCCGCAGCGGCGGCCGGGGAGGGAAATGCACCGCAAAAAGGTCGCGGTGGCAGCAAGCCCAGAGGAGAAGAGCCACAGCGGCGGCCGGGGAGGGAAATGCACCGCAAAAAGGTCGCGGTGGCAGCAAGCCCAGAGGAGAAGAGCCGCAGCGGCGGCCGGGGAGGGAAATGCACCGCAAAAAGGTCGCGGTGGCAGCAAGCCCAGAGGAGAAGAGCCACAGCGGCGGCCGGGGAGGGAAATGCACCGCAAAAAGGTCGCGGTGGCAGCAAGCCCAGACGACAAGAGCCACAGCGGCGGCCGGGGAGGGAAATGCACCGCAAAAAGGTCGCGGTGGCAGCAAGCCCAGAGGAGAAGAGCCGCAGCGGCGGCCGGGGAGGGAAATGCACCGCAAAAAGGTCGCGGTGGCAGCAAGCCCAGACGAGAAGAGCCGCAGCGGCGGCCGGGGAGGGAAATGCACCGCAAAAAGGTCGCGGTGGCAGCAAGCCCAGAGGAGAAGAGCCGCAGCGGCGGCCGGGGAGGGAAATGCACCGCAAAAAGGTCGCGGTGGCAGCAAGCCCAGAGGAGAAGAGCCACAGCGGCGGCCGGGGAGGGAAATGCACCGCAAAAAGGTCGCGGTGGCAGCAAGCCCAGAGGAGAAGAGCCGCAGCGGCGGCCGGGGAGGGAAATGCACCGCAAAAAGGTCGCGGTGGCAGCAAGCCCAGAGGAGAAGAGCCACAGCGGCGGCCGGGGAGGGAAATGCACCGCANAAAGGTCGCGGTGGCAGCAAGCCCAG